CCCCCCCCCGCCTCCCTGGGTTCTTCTTGCAGGTAAGAGACGGAGGGAGCACCGGGACCCTCCACTTTGGGTCTGCACCCCCAGTCCTACCATGGCAATGGATTCAGGGTACGAGTTACCCCATCAACTCAGACCAGATATAGGAATGAAATCCCTGTCCGCTACCCAAGACACTGGATATCTTCCCTCTCCAATCTTTGCAACCCCGAGGCTGCCATTTCCCAGGGATATTTCTCTTTTGTAAAGGCAGCCAAAATGCATTTATTTTGGATTTACAGGCATAAATACAAACACAGACCCCCAAAAAGTTGTGGGATCCATGCTCTGGGTCCCAGCCCCACATCCCTGGCACTGCTGCCAGCACCAAGCGGTGGGAGCCCAACACAGGAGGACAAGTGATTAAACCCGGCCATCTGGCCTGTGTGCTGCCTCCTCCTCCTCCTTCTTGTCCTCCTCCTTCTCCTTCTTCCCTCCACACCCACAGGGCTCAGTCTGTCTTGGCACATCCCCAAGGATGCTCTTCCTGGGGAGCTACGTGACCCCCATCTCCTGCCTCAGTTTCCCCACCTGTAGGATGTGCCTCCCTCACGGAGGATGAACTCTTAATGCCTGGGAGGAAATGTTAGGGGAAGGCTGGGGGGAGGAGGAGGAGGAGGAGGAGGGAGCATTGTTGCTCCAGTTCCAGAGGTTAATGGCTTTCCCTGAGTGAACTCCTGGGCGGGCTAATCGGATTCGATAATTCTGCCAGCCCTGTGTGTCCTCTCGCCTGTCGGTTCCCATCAGCGTCTGCAGCCAACAGCACTTGGGTTCACCTTCAGCAGGGCACCCCTCTCACTCCTTTTAGGTTCCCAGGTCATTAGCCCTTCTCTGCCTGGCCGGGGCTCCTGGAGGCCTGGTCTTCCTGGCCAGGAGTAAGCTGAGACCTGCACAGAGCCGCCTGCAAGAGTGCTGGGTGCTCCCATTGGGCCAGCATCCTCTTTGTCACCAAAGGGATTGCCACACTGGTGGCAATGGCAAATCCATGGGGCCTACTACAGAAAGCCATGGTGTGTCTGTCCTCCCAGGACCAAGCTCAAGCCTTTGTGATGTTGGCCCTCTCTAAGATAAACCTCCTTCAGAGCTATTTTCCTTGGGAATTCTCCAGCTTAACCTACTTATCTGGAGCTTCTCACTCTTGTCTGAGGTCTGCAGCATCCAGACAGGCATCTGTGAGAAGGGATGGCCTCATCCCTTGGGAAGGCAGGAGAGGGGCTGCAGGCTTGGCCGCCTCTACCTCTGCTCGTGCCAACGATGCTGCCTTTGAACCGGCCGCTGGGAGATGAGCTGGGACAGCCAAAAAGGATGAAGGTGTCTCCTTCCTCCTCCTCCTCCTCCTCCCCATCCCCTTTGTTGTGTTTCTGCAGGTGGCCCTTGGCAGGGGGGGCTGTTGTGCCAGGATGTCTGCCCAAATCAACGCATTGGCTCTGACGCCCCGGCACAGAGCATCCATCTGTCCCACCAAGCCAGTGGGACACAGCCTGGCCCCAGCAAGCATCCTGCCCCCTGCCCCCGCCTCTAAAATCAGGGGGGGAATCAGGAACGTCATCTCCCATCCCTCTGCTGGTGAGAGGAGCCATGTGGGCTCAGGACCTCCAACAATTGGGGTCAAATCAGCAATATGCTCCCACGTTTGACTTTTCCCTTCCCTGCTGAGGCTGAAACGGTACCATCTCCAGCGCCTCGTACAGGTCGATGCCAGGAAAAGTAACTGGAGGTGGCACTTTGTGGTTTTGAGATTTTCCCCAAAAAATTGGGCTTTCTGAGGCTGATGAAACAGCCCTATGGGCTGGGAAAGGAGAGGAGCAGCTGGAGGGTGCTGAGCTGGATCCGACTGCTGTGAGCTCCTCCAATCCGTGTGCATTTTCCTAAGGACTTTCAGGCACAGCCCGGGCTCCCAGCAGCCAAACTAAGCTATATCCCAGCTAAAAATCCCTAAGGATTCCCTGACAAATTCCTGAATGAGAGAGCCAGCCTGGTGCTGAGCCAGCACTAACAGCACTGCCTGATGCAGCCCGTCATGGAGGATTTTTTCAGGCTCTGAAGCATCCCAACCCCACATTCCCCATGCTAACACCTCCCAAGGCTGGATAATGCACCTCTGCGGCTCTCCGAGGTGCATAATGCCCATTAGCATCCCAAAACGGGAGCAGAGGGAGATACCCCCCACTCTTCCACCCTCCCCATCAAAGCAGAAATGTGCTGATGCAGAAAAGCCGATCGGCATCTCGTTCCCGCTGGGCGATGCTGGCTGAAGGGATGGAGTAACAGCATTAAAAAGGAGCTGCTGTCAATAAATTCTTGGCGTTGGGAAGTCAGTGTTAAGGTTGACCTTTGAAAAGCTGGCGGGGCTCTCCGGAGGCGAAGCGGAGTAGCCGCCGGTGGGGACAGAGTGATGCCATTTCCAACGACGGATGGCAGTTCTGGGGATAAACATGCTTCCCACTGTTCTATATATCTGTCAGGTGACCTGGAATTCATGTTTGGGAAGGGCTTTTGAGGTGATAGACAGACCCTGGACGCCTGCAAAGCAACCCCTTCCCACACATTAGTGCTGTGTTCCCCCACAAATACGGAATTTCCTGTTGTCTCTTAAGATATCCCGACCAGCCGGTCCCCAAGAGCAGCCATCCTGGAATGCCTCCTTCCTCTTCCAAGGCCAAGACGCTGCCACCATCTTCTCCGAAGACACGGCTCTGGCAATTGAGTTTTATCCCTACAAAGACGGTGAGTCTCAGACCCCACCAGGGATGCTCTCTGTCATCCCAGCTTTGGCTGCTGTGCCCTCATCCAGCTGTTCTCATCCCTTCCAGTGTGGGATGCTCCGGGCACCCTCATTCCTGTGGGATACTCGGTGCTGCCCCTCACCAGCCGTGTTTTCCAGGAGCTGGCAGCGTGCAGCAGTGGAGTGCACGTGGATGGCCTCGCCGTGGAGGTGAGAAAGGGCCTGTGGGGTAACACTGGGCAGGTGATGGTATCTACAGGTGATGGTGGGATGGTGGGATGGAAATCCCACCTCCGTGTCTGGGTGAGCAGCCTGGCACAAAACTCCCAAGCATCCCACAGGAAGCTGGGATCTCTGCTCCAAACCACAGCCCTGCACCTCTGGATGACATCTAGATGATGCCAAAGCCATCAGGAGCTCCAGTGGAAACCCAATTTGCCTCCCCAGGGCACCGACCTCCAAACCACAACTGGAACCATCCCGACCGTGGGGCTCTGCCTGCAGCTCCTTCGATCTGAGGTGAGATGCTGGGGATGGAAAATCCCGAGGTGAGGAGGGATGGGGACAGGGACAGGGAGGAGATGGCTCTTTAGAGCTGCCACCCTCTCTCCAAACCTTTCAGCTGGGCTGGATATGGGTTTTATCCCTTGTGCATGTTGTCCCAAGGCTCTGGATAATGTCATCAGGCAGCTAGAAAAAGCAGCATCGTTCTTGCCATCACACATCCATCGCTTTCCCAGGGATTTTGTCACATGCTCATATTCCCAGGAAATCCTGCCTGGAGACAGGGCACAGGCAGGGTATTTGGGAGAGGCTGCTCACCATCTCAGAGTGGAGAAACGCCAGGCTGGTTAACCATGGTGACAAATGTCCAGCTGTCTTCCTTCAGCATTTGTGCTCCCCAGGGATGGCACAGCAGGGAGGGAACGCGGCTGCTTTTCCTGGGGAGAAGGAAACCCCGCCAGCCCTTGGCTCCAGGTCCGTGGGCAGGTTTGGATGCGTCCACGAGCCCAATCGATCTAATTACTGCAGCCACCAGCCTCTGCTCCCATCTGCAAACCAAAAATCCTCTCCATAAAGTGAATTTGGGTCCGGTCTGGATGCTGCATCCCTGAGGAGCCGCGGTGGGCAGGGGCCGGCTGGTGGGGGGCTTTGGAGTGATTGCCCAGGGGGGTCAGCAAAAAGGGGTCTGCGTGTGATGAATTATTCACATGGGTGTCACTAAGTGCAGAATTAATCCTTTTGCTTCCAGCTGGCTGCTGCACTAAATTATCACTCGCAGTCATGCGGGAAAATGCTGCAGAATTCATTTAGCTGATTATTGTTTTGATCTGGGAGCTGCAATTTTTTTTTCTCCTCTTCCTCAACCTCTCCCATTCCGCTGCTCGAGCCCTGCCTTCCCTAATGTATGTAAGAGCTGGGAGTGGAAACAAAAAGCGAGAAAGCCAGAGCAAGCCTTGGGCTCTGGATAATTCATCCGGCAGCGGCCCAGGCAGATGGACCCGGAGCGATGCAAATCAGTGAGCGAGTTCCTACCGAGCAGGGTGAGGGCATGTTCTGCTCCTTGTTTCTTGCCTGGAGGTCAGGATTTTCTTAGGAAAATGCTCCAGCTGTCTGGCTGTGATCCCCAGCACCCCAAAACCAGCAGGTAGGGGAAGCGTTGCCTCAGCTGCATGGGCAGGGACTCTCCTGCTTTGGGCAGCCCTAGGCTTCAAGGGATGCTTGAAGGCTTAATTTCCAGCTTCTCAGCTCATGGATTAGTCTTGAGCTTGGCTTTGGGACAGCAAGAAGGGGCCAAATGGGGGCCAAGAGGCACAGACAGGCAATACAGGACTCGGATGAACCTGGTGATGCCCTGGGCCTTTGTACGAGGAATGTCTCTGTGGTGCGAGGAGCCACAGAATCCCTGCCCATGCCTGGATCTGAGGAGCCCCAGCATCCCTGTTCATCCCTGAGGTGTGAGGGAGCCCCAGCATCCCTGCCCACTTCCAGGTGCAAGGAGCTGCAGCATCCCTGTCCATCCTTGGAGTGTGAGCAGCCATGGTATTGCTGTCCATCCTTGGGGTGCAAGGAGCTGCAGCATCCCTGTCCATCCTTGGACAGCCATGGTATTGCTGTCCATCCTCGGGGTGCAAGGAGCTGCAGCACCCCTGTCCATCCTTCTCCATGATTTCTCACCCCACATCTCTCCCCGCAGCCGATGGCAAAGGAGAACACCCACTGAGCTCGTTTTCTTTCCTTTCTTATTTTTCCTTTACCTCAGAGAGCTGAAAATGGATAACCCAGATTGGTTGGGCTCTTTATAACAAACAGCAGCTAAATAAACCCGAGGTGCCATCTGGTACCCAGCACACTCAGAGCTGGGTGTAAATCCCGGCTGTTCCGTGGCCTCTGCAGGGATTTCACCAACTCCTACCAGGGCATGGATGCCCAGAGCTTGGTTTCAGATGCTCATATCAATCCTTTGTGCTGGGAAAGTGTCCTCAGTTATAGGGTTTTCCAGGGAAAAGGGGCTACCCACAAACTAAACTCCCTGTCTCAAAACTCTGCTACGCTTGTAAAAGCCACAGGGAAAGGGTTTGGAGCATCTGCTTTGTTAAAAGCCAAGAACCCCAACACCAGGAATGAGCAAACAGTCGTGTTACCCCAGGGAAGGGGCAGTGCTGGGTTGCAGCCTCCTAGTAAAGGCACTGAGATCCCCAGGTTTGCCCCCACCCAGCCCTGTTCCCCCCCCATCTTCATCCCCTCGAGCTCCCCCTCTGGACCCCACAGGAGAACAAAAGACTTTGATCATCTCAGGGAGACAAAAAAATCAAAGACTTCAGCAAAACGCTGGTGCTTTAGCAAATTGACCTTTGGCATTCAAAAAAACCCAGGTTTTCCAGGTTTTTTTCCAGAGGGAAAGCCTGTAGCCAGCTTCCTCCACCTCGGTACTGGCTTGGGGCTAAAGACACGACTCCTGTTTTCCCTTCATTCCAGATTTTCCTTTTTCACTCCAAATTTAGTGTCTTGTCCAAAAGAGATGAGTTTGACCTCACAGTAGCCAGTGGTAAAGCCACGTGCAGGTTCAGCAGGATGCATTCCCAGGCGATTCTGAGCCTCATCCAAGGGCTGGAAAACACACAGAGGAGGCATCTGTATTACTGAGGGATTTATTTATATCCCTGTTTAATAACCAGCCTTGTTTTACGCTTTGTTTTGGCACAACCCCACCTTGCTCAGCCCATTAATTTGGCACTTGGGACCTTCGGGGTCACCTCAAGCCTCTGCCACGAATTTGCTGAGCGCCCTTGGTCATGTCACCCGAGATGGGAGTCAGGGGACACGCTGGCACACGGTGACAGCCTCTGAAAAAAAAAAAAGTGAAAAGCTAGTGCCATGGTTTTTTTTTTCCAGGCAAGGGGAAAAAAAAAAAATCAACAGGCTGGCTATTTCACTGCTTAAACAGCTTTAATTTATGTGATTGCTGCTGTTCCAAACCCGGAGCAGATCGGTGCCTGGCGTAAATTGTCACAGCGCCGGGGTGTAAATTGTCACCATGCCAGCCTGGCCATCAAACCCCTTTTGGGCTGGCCAAAAGAAATGGGTTTACAATTGGCTGTGGAGTAGGGAATTGCCATGTGTTTCCTGATATTTCAGCCCGGTTGGTACTCCTCGAGCAGCAGAATTGGGATTTTATCCCCAGTGTGGATGCTGACGCTGGTGAAAACTTTGCTTTGGGGGAATCGTATAATCATGGAATCATTTGGGTTGGAAGGGACCTCAAAGATCATCCAGTTCCACCCCATGGCATTATCAGGGATACCTTCCACTATCCCAGATTGCTCCAAGCTCCATCAAACCTGGCCTTGGACACTTCCAGGGATGGCGCAGCCACAGCTTCTCTGGGCAACCTCGTGTCAGGGCCTCCCCACCCTCACAGGGAAGAATTTCTTCCTAATCTATTTTTTTTCCTGATAAAAATTATATTTAGCCCTTCCCTGCTGAGCATCTTTTCTCGGTGAGCCGGCAAAGCCCCCAAGGGCTTCTGGCACAGCCAAACTGCTGCCAGCTGCTGATCGGCACTTGCCAGTTAAACACAGCCCCCATTCCTCTTATCGTACGGAGGATTACAAGAGTCGTGATCTCGGCCAGGAAGAGCCAAACCAAACAGGGAACGTCTTTGTTAAGGGGAATGGGTTGGTTTTCGCCGCCGGTCCCGGGGGAGCGTTCAGGGCAGCGCTAATTGAATTAAGAGCACGTTCGCTCGGGCTCCGACGGGCCACGGTGGCCGCGGCCATCGCTCCGGAGCGGCGGCAGCAGCGGCTCGCCGGCCTCCGTAATTGCAGCCAGAGCCTAAACTGTTGCATTTTGCATGATGCTGCTCCCCCGGGAAGGGGGAGAGTGGTGGGGCGGGGGGCGGCTTCACCCAGCTTTGATGCTGGAGGAGCTCGGCTGAGGTCGGGGCCGGCGGCGGAATGAAAGGCGGCGGCTCGGGGGATGATGCTGCTGATGGTGTTAATGAGGCAGCGGTGGGGAAGGGCACGGGGCGCCTCCGGACACCTCCTGCTGCAGAGGGGGGATGCGCCCGCCCTCGTTATCCGCACTAACGAGGCGAGGCCGGGCGCAGGCACGGAGGAAAACCCAGAGAGGGCCACTTTGCCGTTGCCCATGCCTGTGGCCAATTTGGAGAGGGCATCCAGGCTGATTGCTCAGCCGCCGGAGCCAGGAGAGCAGCTGGAAGGTGGGGAGCGAGGATTTTCTGGGTGGGTGCGGGGATACCATGCCTTGATACATGAATCCCAGCGCCAAGGCAGGTCCTCATCACCCCGGGAGCCAGGACTGGGCAAGGCTCCGTATCTGTGACCTTGCCACTCAGGTGGCAGCGAGGAGCACATGGACTCCATCGTTTATTCCATTAGATCCTGCTTCCCCCTCTAACTGGATTAGAGGGGAGTCTATAAAAGCCAGGCTGGCGGGAGGAGAGCAGGACGCGCAGAGCCGGGAGTGGGAAATGAGGGGCAGGGAAATCACATTACTACTGCCAGCAGCTTCTGGCAGGGCTCTGGCAGGGGTTGTTGGTGTGCCTGAGGGGCTTATCCAGCAGGCACCCAAGGTGGGGGCAGCACCAGCTGGCAAAGTGGTTTCTAACATCCCATTGCACCTTCAGGACCTGGATACCCCCCTCCCACCCACCTGAAGGATGAGGATGGGCATGGACCTGCTATTTCCATCACCACAGGCACAGAACTGCCTCCTTCTCCTCCTTCTCCACTTTGTCACGTTGTCACCTCGGGGATCCCCTCTCTGCCCAAAACTCCCCTCGTAACTTCCTCTTGGCCGACCCACAGCTCTTCCCCATTGCTCCAGTGGCACACTGGGGATGTAGATGGGGGGACAGGAGACATGCAGTGGATGCAGATCAGCCCAGATGCCCCCTCCTTGCCCCTGTCACTGCATCCATCCATCCCACAGACCATTGCCTCTCCCTCCCCAGAGACCAGCAGCATTCCTGACCCCGTCAGGCAGCGATGCCCTCCCCAGCCTGGACCCTGCCACACTCAGCACCCTCCAGAGCAACGAGGAGCCACAGGCGACCCCCCTGTACCCACTTGATGGCCAGGTAAGGACCCACGAGGGCATCCAGAGGTGCTGTGCCAACACCCTGCCCATGGCATCCAGCCTCCATGAAGGCACACATCATCTTCATAAAGGTGAAAAACAAGCATAAATCCCAATTTTTAATCTCTCTTCCAATGTGTGCGTTGCTGGGAGTGGCCGGTTTTACCTCCAGCCTGGCTGTAGCAGTGATTTCTTGTGTTGTGTGGAGCATCCCTGGTATCCAGCTGTTTTGGGGTGGCACAGGGTCTGGAGGGGGGACATCATCCCATCACCTTGCTGGGGGCAGTGCTTCAATGCACCAGCTTCGATCTAATCGCTCAATCCCAAATTCATTTAGCAAATTCTCTCCTATTATCACTGCATTATGTGGGAGAACCCAGGCACCTCCAGCTCGTACCTTTCGGCTCCAGGAAAAAAATAAAAGCCAGCTGTTCTCCTCCTCCAGCCCTTTGTAGTGACAAATGGAGCCCTTGGATGAATTTAAACCCGGCCCTCGTGGTCCTAATGTCTTCCTGTGCTTTAAGCCATCTGGCTTTAAAAATAACAGGTTGTTAAAGCCCAATTCTGCTTATTAAATAGCTTGGAGAGAAGGGGTGGAGGGGGCCCATTCTTTCCAAAACCCCACTTATTTCCCCCTCAGTGGCTTCCCAGACCCCACCTTCAACCTGCGATTCAGGCAGCAAAGCAAGAAGAAAATTAGCAATAAAATAACCACCATAAAGAAAAGAATAATACTACAGCAAAGCTATTTGTTTTTCCTCCAGCTGTTTTAATTCCTCCAATCCACTGAGCTTTATGACTTCCCTTTCCACGGCTTCTTTATGCTCAACCTAATAGAAACCCATAACGGGGCGTGCGGGGGCGGGTACCACAGCACAGCTTAAATGCCATCGGGGCGTGAGCTCCGAATTTGATGGATACAATTACCCAGGGGCTCTGGAGAAGCCCCAGCACCCTCCAGACCTGCAAAGGATCCAGCCCAATGCTCCAAGCAGCCTCAAATTCGGCTTGCTGCATCCTCACAAGAGCATCCCTGCGAGGATGGGTGGGAAGTGATCTCAAGGATGTTTCCAGCATCCAGTTTTAAAGCCCGAGTGGGGCAACAGGAGCCCAGAAATGTTTTGCACAAGGTCTGGGCACCCCTGCACGAGTATTTTCTCTTTTTCTGTCTAAAAAAAAACATTGCTGGTAGGATTAATATTTCCCCTCACACGCACAACCTTTGGCAGCCGTTTTCTTTCCTTTGCTTTTTTTCTTCCCCCCCCTAAAGCACAAATTATTTTCACTTGGCTTGCACTGTGGCGCGGGGGGATTTGCTTGGAAAACCCGTCTCCTGACAGCCCCGGGAATCAGGGCTGACACCCTACTAATGGAGCGTGTGTGCGGGAGGGAGCCGGGACGTGACAGCCCCCCCGGCGGCGGGGTTTGGGGGGGCCGGGGGGGGAAGCACTCGGCTGATCACAGTCCTGTCACTTCTTCCCAGTCCGCTCGGGCTGATCAAACCCGGATCCTCATCCCTACCCTGCGGCTTTGGAGGTCCTGCTCTGGATCTGCTCGTTAACGCCTTCATTAGAAAGTGGGAAAACAAAGCGATGAGGAACATTGTCAGGGATGGGGTAACCCTCCTGCTTTTCCACCTCCCACGGGGGTGGAAATCCTTTGTGCCGGGACATTAACATCCCCCCCTCCCCGGGCTTACCAAGCTTTCCTGCTAGACGAGCTCTCCGACCTTAGGCTGAGCCTTGTGCTGGGCTCAGCCTAACCATGTTTTCCTACCCTCCTGCCCTCTCCCGGAATAGATTTGTGCCTCTCTTACCAGCTGATGAATAATTTACAAGCAGCACTTAACGATTAGGGGGGCGTTTTCTCCAGCCTCCTCAAACATTTGCTTCTCCTTCAAGCCTTTCTTTCCCCACTCCCATCACACATATTTCCCTGACCTGTCGATGCAGGGGGATTTACAAGCCACAGGGTCTCTCGTGGAGCTGGGAGAAGCAAATGTCGTATTTTTTTCCACGCTGGTGTTTTGTTCCCAGCACTGCACGTGTACTGTCAGCTCCATCACGTAAGATAAGAGCCCAGATGTGCAGTTGGTCCCCAGAAATATCCCATAGAAGAGGAAGCCGTGATGGAGGGGGGGATTTCCCGCTTCCCAGCAGCATTGGAGTCCCTTTGCTGGGCCCATATCCAGTTTCTGTGTGATTTCCAAGGAAGAGGGGGGGCTTTGCACCCACTGAGCAGGGTCTGCTGCCTCAGCAAGCTGGGAGGGGACACCCAGCATGGTGTGGTGCTGCTGGGTCCAGCAGCTTTTTGGAGCTGGTGCTGAAAAGTGTTCTGATGGCGAGGGGAGAGGAGGGGCAAGGGGTGAGAGATGTGAGGGGAGAAGGAGCTGTGGAAAAAGAGGATGCTGCAAGGGGTGAGGGTTCTGTGAGATGAAATGGGGATTCAAAGGATGAAGATGCTGCAAGGAAAAAGGATGGCACCCAGGGAGAAAGTGCAGCAAAGGGTGAAGGTGCCGTGGGCCCGAGGGTGCTGGGAGGGGTGAGGAGAAAGATGAGGATGCTGCAAGGAAAAAGGATGGTGCACTGGGAGAGGGTGCTGCAAGGGACAAGGGTGCTGTGAGGAAAGAAAAGGATGCGAAGGATGAGGATATTGCAAGGAAATAGGATGGGGCATGGGGAGAAGGTGCAGCAATGAATATGCTGCGAGGGGAGAGGGTGCAGCAAGGGGAGAGGGTGCTATGAGGGGTGACAGTGCTTCAAGGGGTGAAGATGCTGCAAGGGACAAGGATGCTGCAAGGGGAGAGGGGGATACGAAGGATGAGGATGCTGCAAGGAAAAAGAATGGTGCATGAGGAGAGGGAGCAGCAAGGTGTGAGGATGCTGCAAGGGGAGAGGGTTCTGTGAGGTGTGAGGATGCTGCAAGGGGAGAGGGGGATTTGAGGGATGCAGATGCTGCAAGGGGAAAGGCTGGTGCATGGGGAGTGGGTGCTGCAAGGGACAAGGGTGCTGTAAAGGGAAAGGGTGCTGTGAGGGAGAGGGGAATCGATAGATGAGGATGCTCCAAGGAAAGAGGATGGAGCACGGGGAGAGGGTGCAGCAAGGTGTGAAGATGCTGCAAGGAGAGAGAGGGTAAGAAGGGGAGAGGGTGCTGTAGAGGGAAAGGGCAACGTGAAGGAAGAGGAGGATGTGAAGGATGAGGAGCCTGCAAGGGTAAAGGACAGTGAACCCCATCACCCCTGTGAAGGGAGAGAGTGCTGTGAGGAAAAAGGGTGCTGGAAAGGGAGAGGGTGCTGTGAGGGGTGAGGGGACAGAGGGGTGCAAAAGATGAGGATGCTGCGAGGAAAAAGGATAATGCATAGGGAGAGGGTGCTGCACAGGGTGAAGGTGCTGTGAGGGCTGAGGGTGCCGTGAGGGCTGAGGGGACACAGGGATGTGAAAGATGAGGATGCTGCAAGGGACGGTGCAAGAGGAGAAGGCGCTGTGAGGGGTGAAGGTGCTGCAGGGGGTGTAGATGCTGCAGAGGCTGAGGAAGCTGCGCGGGACCAAGATGCTGCAGGGCCGAGGTTGCTGAGGGCGCAGGCGGCCGCCGGCCCGTGCGAGGCTCCAGCCCCATCTAGCGACAGCTCCGCCGGTCCCGGCTCCCCACCGGGGAGGGGACAACCCTCCACCCCGGATACCGCTCCTCTGGAGCTGGGATGCAACCGGTTGGGACGGGGATGCCTCGCTTTGCCCAGCCCGGGGATGCTCGGAGATGTTTGCCGGGAACTGGACACCCATGGGTGCCCCGGCAGCCACGGGCACGGGTCTCAGTGCCCGGCAGCCTGGTGGGAAACGGGGGGGGGGGGGGGGGAGGATCCCCCAGCAGGATTAAACCAATTAATAAAACAGGCCCATAAGTGAGCTGATGTGACCCCAGAGGTCACCACCCTGGCACTGCCTCCAGGAACAGGGGCAGGGTAAAGGCATTTACAGCAGAAACCTGCCAGCCACCCCAAATCCATCTGCTGGGCTGGGGGAGAGTAAAAGTAACGGGAAGAGCTGTTTTCTTGGGGAGAAGGTGGGATGGGGAGGATGGGGACAGAGGGACGTGGGTTTTGGAGGGCAGCAGAGGGTGCTGGAGAGGCAGGGACTCAAGGGTAAAGGGCTGGGGGAGGCTGAGTGTGGGCTGAAGGGGTTGAAAATGATCCAAGTGCCACAGTTATGTTGCATGAGGGGGTTTTTTTTGGTAATCCAGGCCCTGGGTAAAGGTGGGCCTTGCATGGGCTTCTCCTGCTTGGGTCTGGGTGGCTGAGGGTTTAGCTGTGTGGGGTAGGGACTGGGGACACCAGCACTGATCCAGAGCATGGAAGAAGAGAAAACTGTCTCCAAAATACCATTTTTATGTGCTTGGGGGTGCTTGCGTTGGAACGTGTGGCACCCTTGTGTGTCCTGCTCCAACCCAGCCCAGCAGTGCTACTAAACCCTCAGTGAACCTGGCACAGAGGGACTCATCCATCCTTGTTTAGGGACTTCTCAGCCTTTCCTGGTCCTAGGGCACCTAAAAAGTGTGGGAATATGGGAGAGCATTCAACTTGGGTCCCATGCATGGGTTTTTGAAGGGATGCTGGGATAACTGTCTCTGTGGAGCTGCCTAGTGCTGCCCCATCTGGCACTGGGGACTTTTGGTGATATTTCTCCACTTCTTCACATCCCCGAGGTTTGTCTTAAAACACAAATGTGGATGTTTTCCTAGGAGGAAAAAAAACCACAAGGACTCAGTGGGAACCCAGAATAACAGTTGGAATCTGTTTCCCTCATTTTTTTGATCTCAGGAGGGGGATTTTTTTGGGTCTGGGTCCCGTTTGTGGTCGTGGGTGAGCGGCAGCACTGGGGGATGCTCTGGTCCATGCTGGGAGGAGAAACCCAACCCAGGAGATTCTTTCCCACTGGGCACCATCAGGAGCAGGGCATCACTTGGGGACATCACTTTGGCTGTCCCCATCCCTCCTGAAAGTAGCAGGATGAGGGGGAACACTGTTTCTCGGGAGCCAGGAGCTGACTCAGCCGGCATTTGCTCTCAAAAGTTATCCCACCTGTTCCTAGCTGCATATATTTTTTCCTTTTTTTTTTTGTCTTTCTTTTCTTTTTTTTTGTCTTCCTTTCATTTTCTTTGAGGAAAATAAACCAGCAGCGACTCACAGAGGACTCACAATCCCTGCTGGCGGCACAGCTGCTTCCTTGAGCCTTATCTTGAAGGAGCAGGCGGGAGGGTGGGAGCCCGCGGAGCAGTCTCCTCTCCGTGGAGCATCTCCCCTCCCCGAGCTACCCAGTGTAATCCAGAGGCTTTTATATCCTTGTAAAACATGGTATCAGCAGCCGGCAGCTGGGCCCGGAGCCGGAGAGCGATGGCAATCGCCCGCCCTAAACTCGTCCTCGAGGCTGGGGGGGGAGCAGAAGATGTGGTGTCTCTATTAAATGGGACGTGGCACAGATTAAGCAGTTTTCAATGCAATCCAATTAACTGCTAAATTGAATTGTAATGCTTTGCCTAATACACCCCCCCCAGCACGGCCCCCCCGGTGCTTGGGAAGGGAGTTCAGCCTTGATTTGATCAGATAAAACCCCGTTTATTTGCTGCCTTTCACATCCTGCCGAGGTGTAAGGGGAGCAGCCGGGCTAAAATTCTCCCTATTTCCCCCGGGAATTGGAGTTCCCCAGGAAAACACTGTGATTTTAGAAGCAGAGGAGGAAAACCAACGTTTTCCCCACTGATCTGGCCACCCAGATGTCCTGAGGGTGGTTTGGGTACCCAGGAACATCAGGGACCTGGGACCTGGCATCAGCCCCAGCCCCATCTATACCTGCATCCCAAGGGAATATGTGAGGCTGATGGGGGCAATGGGCAAAGCAAAAAGAGGCATCGCCATCTCCTGATGAGTTCATGAGCTTTTGTTACAGAAAAGAGGGGAAAATGGGATTTTTTTTTTCCCCTCTGATCTTCCTAAGCCACTGCAGTAATTTTTTTTTCTCCTCAGATATGTAAATCCAAGCTTATCCCATCTTCCTAACAATTAAGGAATTAGGCTTAATATTCATCCATGGATGTTTTATTTGTGGAGCTGGAGGGAGATTGTGCTGCAGCAGGGGGTGGGGGGCCGTCAGGGGCTCAAATGCCTCTGTGCTCACACGTGTAACAAGTTGTCCCATCCTCAGCCTTTCTCATGTCCTCTCCTCAGACAGGGACAGGGTCCACACACGCCATGTGGATGCAGAACCCTCTGGCACACCCTATTTTTGGCAATTTTCGGATCTTCCTGCCTCCTGCAGAGGTTTATTTCTAGCCCCCTCCCTGTGCTGCTCCATCTAGAGAGGAATTGATTCCAGCAGTCAAAGCTAATCGGATACATCAAAGCATCTTGGAGCAATTTGTTAAGTAAATATTAAAAAAAAACTCCAAACTTGGCCTAAGCAAATATGGGAAGGAGGGGGGTGGCATATCGGGTGATGAAAGGCTCCAAAGGCAGGAGAAGCTTCAGAGAAGCTCGGAAATGATGAGGAGGGGGAAAAAAAAAATATTAAAAAATAAATAACGAGAGCCAGGAGTTTCAAAGCTTCCATCATTTCAGAGGCGGATTCCCAGCCTTTCATCCTGGACCCCTGTGGGAAGGAGAGACGCAGCAGCGATCTCCGTACGGATTTGAGATAGGAGATGTAGGGAAAAATGTCTTCAAATGCCTTTAACCCTGTCCCTGGGGTGATGCTGCCTGCCGGGATGGTGGGATTCTGAGCAGCGCTGGGCTGGGAATACAGGCTGGGGGAGCTTTTCCAGGCTCTGCAGGTGTAGTCTGAGCCTGGAAAAGCCGTGGTGGAAGGCAGCCCAGGCAAGGCAAGTGCATTATTGATGGAGCAGATAATTGCACGCTTCCCACCATCTCCTTGATGAAAAATTGATGGCACGGGATGAGGGAGCGAAGGGCTCCACTGACTTACACCGGCCTCTTTGTTCCCTGACAAACCCCGGAGCAGAGGTGGATGCGGGATGCCGCAGCAGGTGGGAGGCACAGGAGCCTCTGTGGGGACCCTGAAAAAGGGACAGGATGAGGGACAAGCTGGGACAGAGAATCCCGTGCCTTAAAACACTTTAAATTCAGTCTCAGGACGGAAGTGGGGTTTGCTCAGCAAATTATCCACCGAATTATTCCCAGGCCAAACTCCAAAGTGGAGCTGAAGCCTGATGCCACCCAGCACCTCCCAGACGTGTGTCCTCTGAAGTTAATTGAGTGTTTGAAACATCAGAGGAGCGTGCTGGGAAGGCAGAGCATTTCCATGCATGGAAATGAGGCGCTGTCATCACTGGAGCCACCCAGGAGCTCTGGGATCTGGTGGTGGCCTCCACCAAGTCACCCTCCTTGGCTCTGCACTGCTGGGAGCAGGGAATAAGGCAAAAAAACCGCCCAAAATCAGGATGGGAATGAGAAGGGAGGGCTGGAAGCAGCGAGGGGCTGAGGTCTCCACAAGCTCTGATGGTTTTGGAAGCAACAATGGGCTGTTGAAGGGGAAGAGATGCGGATGTCCAGGGCACCTGTCTGCCTCTGGAATTCTCCCATTCTGGGTGCAGACGGGTGATTTTGGCCTCCCAGCTGCTCCAGGGAGGAGTTGCTAAGAGGCGAGCTGTGTTGTAGCAACAGCTGCCGGTGTGCTGGGAGCTCCATGCCACCTAAATCCTTTTACCAGTGGAAAGGGCCTGGGAAAACCAGCTTTTCCTCATGCTACAGCCCCCCGGCATCACCGCAAGTCCCCCGGCTGCAGCTCAGGCAGTGGTGCAGGAACACGAGGTTTGCCCGGGGGGGGGATTTGTTTGGGGCAGGAGGAGCCTGGCAACCTGCTGTGGGCAGGGCTGACTGTGGAAACGGGGTGCTGGGGGGACCAAGACACCCCAGGAGCGGGAAGGATGCTCTACTACAGACCCTTCTCCTCCACTGTGAGTGCTGGGAGCGGCAGGTGGGGATGGGGACGTCACCTGGTGTCACCAAGGGAGGGGAGGACCCAGAGATCCCTGTTACACCCCAGCAAGGGTGCCTGGCTCAACAGTCCCGCTGTGGAATGATGCTCATGGAGTTGCATCCACGTCTTACGTGTAGCGGTGGCACTTGGGGACGTGGTTTAGTGCTGGTCTTGGCAGTGCTGGGGGAATGGACTTGATGGTCTTAAATGATTCCATGATACAAAATCAGGAGTTTCTGAGTAATTCCATCCTCAGAAGAAGGTCTCCCAGCCCCCTGGCTGTATCCAAGCCCCAAAGCGGGATGCTTGGAGCATCACAGCCAGTCATTCCAGAGGTTTTGGGGCAGAGCTGGACCCTGATCCCAAAGCAACAACGGCAAAGGTGTTTTGCTCCAGATGAAAGCCTGGAGAGCTGCTCCCAGCTATGGGAAAGGGGATGAAGGAGCTTGTTCCTCCCCAGCCTGCTCCTCATCCTCACCCTCTGCCCTGATGTCTCCTGCCAGCTCCATCGAGATGACATGTCCCTCCCGGCAGTTGATGCCGTGGCCAGTATCCTGCCTGGAAAGCAGCCATTCCCACATGGAGAGCAGAGGTACGGGGACTGCTGTGGGTTTGGCTCCTTCTTCTTATCCTCCTTGGGGTGATTTCATCCTTCCTCCACTCTCCCCATATTTTTCCCAGTAGCTTCTCCTCCTGCCCCAGTGCTGCAGATCTTACTCCTCATCTCCTCCAGCCTCCCACCCTTCATGCACTCCCATCCCTCCCAGCACCCCAAACAGGCTCCTGTCTCCTACAGAGAGTTCCTTGGCCAGGGTTTTGCTGGTGTTTCACAGTGTCCCCCCTGCTCTTGGCTCTGCAGGTCCCAGGAGAAATTTGGAGATCGCCAGGAGCTGGTGAGTGCCAGGGAGACGGCAGGAACAGGGACAGTGGGGACACTGCAGAGGAAAAGCAGTGTCCCCAAGGTTGGTCCTGGCTCCCAAAGCCAGTGAAGGTCTGGGAGGGGGTGGGGGGCAGCCCTTGAGCTTGGCTGGAGGGACCTTTACCTTGGGAACGAACCAAAACCTGGATGAAACCGCTCCTGGGCAGATGGGGAGGAAGGAGCAGAGCCTCTGGCTGCACCTGCCCCCCTTTCCCCCCTTCCCAAGGCTACGTGATGCTGCTGCAGCCCCTCCCCACGCCCTGGCCCCCCCACGGGCCACTGGCCAAGGCCATTCCCAAGGCTGGGAGCAGGGGGCCCAGGGTAGCTGGAGGCACACAGCTCCCTCTGGCCAAGGTCCCTGCTGTCAGGATCCTCCCAGCGTGGCAGAGAGGGGTATCAGCCTAAAAAGATAAAAATCCACAGGGAATTTTGTCCCCCCAGCACCACCTGGCATCATCTTTATGTTATTCTTCACCCCATCCCTTCTTTCAAAGACCTGCAAAGCCCTGAAAGGCTCAGAGCTTGGGGATGACTCCCAGATCCAGCACTGCTCCACCCCACATCCTTGGGAGATTTCCCCAAGGGGGTTGTAGGAAAAGATGGGGAAATGGAGGAGGGGTCTGTTGGGTGGAAGGAGAGGTGGGTGGATGGAGAGGAGAAGGTTTGGAAGGACAGAATGGGTGGCTGGACAGATGGATGGATGGATGGATGGATGGATGGATGGATGGATGGATGGATGGAGAAGAGAAGGATTAATACATGAATGTGTGGATGGATGGATGGATGGATGGGAAAAAGAATAATAGATGGCTAGAGAAGTGAAGGACAAGTGGCTGGAGAGGGATGCATGGAGATGAGAAGAATGAATGTATGAATGCATGGATGGATAGATGGATGGGGAAGAGAAGGATGGATGGAGAAGAGAAAAGAAGGATTGACACATGAATGGATGGATGGATGGACAAATGGGAAAGAGAAGGATGGATGGAAGAGGTAGAGAAGGATGGATGGTGTCAAGAGGAGTGGAAAATCTGGATGTTCCTTAGCTCTCCACAGTGGGTCTGACCCTCAAGCCACATATCCCGAGCTGATCCCTTGGATCTGGGGACAGCCCTGGCTGCCATGGGGTGCCAGCAGCTCTGCTCTGGGCTGGCAGGATGTGGGCAGCTACCGCCTGGCACTGAAGCGGATGGCAGGGGACCTCCTGTCCCTGCGCCGGCACGTCACCAGCCTGGAGGTGGAGAACGGGCACCTGCGGGGCAGCCTGGCCTCGCAGCAGGAGCTGGGCCAGGCTCTGCTCCACGACACCGACCTGCACGTCATGACCCGGGAGGAGCTGCTGGACAGGCTCGGTGTGTGGCGGGGAGGGGGCAGGTGGGAACTGGGGAACCTCCTCCCCGGTCCCCTGGCCGGGTGACAAGGATGTGGCGTGGGGTCTTGCAGCCACCCTCAAGCACCAGCTGGTGGCCAGCACAGCAGAGATGAGGAGACTGAAGGATCGTGTCCAGCAGCTGCAGAATGAGCTGATCCGGGTATGGATGTGAGCAGGGGCTGCCTGGGGGATGGAGTGGGCTGGAAAAGCAGGGGAGCAGCGGGGCCCCCCAGAGCCCAGCAAGTGCCTGAGAGCCCCAGGACCCCTCCAGGAGGTTCTCTCAGGTGATGCCCAGGTGATGCCTCAAGGCTTGAGGCTCAGCACAGAGCTCCCTGGGGGAATTTCCTCTTCCTCCCTCGCAGAAAAATGACCGGGAGAAGGAGCTGGTGCTGCTCCAGCAAGCCCACCGGCTGCAGCAAGCCATGCTGAGGAGGTGCCAGGATAAGGTGGCCAAGGCAAAGGGCTTGGAGGAGACTGTGCAGCAGCAGTAGAAGGTGAGCCATGGGGCATTAGGTTGGGCGGATAAGTAGGTGAGGAAGGACAGGACTGGAAGGGCACAAGGCTCTGTGGAGCAGACGGGAACCCGGGCTGCGTGACGTGTTGGAGACAGCTCTACCCTCTCCCACAGGTATCCAGGTGATGGAGCAGGTGCTGCAGGAGAACTCGCCAGGGCAGGTCAGGAGCAACGGAAAAGCCGGCGCAGGTGGCGTGCAAGACGGGAATGAGTGACTCTCGGGGGGTGGGGCGGTCCGCCCCATACCCAGCTGCTGGGCTCCTGGGATGATCCATGGTGGGGGATCAGTCGGTTTCCTGAGCCCCCAGCACACATCCTGGCATGGAGAGGCAAGGGCTTGCTCTAAGCCCCCCATCCCTGCACGGGAGGGGCGCAGGGACACGTCCCAGTGGTCTCCCCCACGCCAATCCCCCAGTGAAGCCCTCTCCGGGGAGATGCCACACCGCGCTGCTGGCCGACGAATACCGCCGGGCTGCGGGAGAGCTGGCGGGGCCCCGCCCACCCCGCAGCCCCATCGCCCCGCAGGCCCCCAGGCCCTGCCGCCTGAGGACTTGGGGAGGGCACAGGATTTGGGGAGGGGCAGAGCCGTGCACCCCAGAAAAGCACTACCGGAGGGGTCGCCCTTGGGGGCATCACCTGGCTGGCATCTCCGGCTCCGTGGGGCAATAGCCACCCCACGGCTCGCCCCCGCCGGGAGCAGCGGGAGAGAGCGGGGGAATCCAGCACGGCCGTTCCCGCTCCAGCTCACCTCGTGCCCACAGGGTGTTTTGGGGGGCACGGAGAAGCTGTCTCTGCTGGCCAGGCTGGAGGAGGCGCAAGCCCGCGGGCGGGTGCTGGACAGGCAGGTGGGCATCACCCCTCTGCACCTCACTTGATGCTGGGGGGCTTGGAGTGTCTCTGGCCCCCATTTTCTGGGGAGAGCCAGCCTGTTTTGGGTCTGTCCCAGCTGGAGAAGGCAGCGAGGCAGTGGGGTCGGGAGAAGCAGGAGCTCGGAACTCGTCTGCTGGAGCAGGAGAACGGCTTCCCCCACCCCTCGGTGAGCACACAGGGGGGACCAAGGACACCCCTCACGGGAGCTGGCAGCCGGTATTTGCTGCCAGCAGGAAGGATCGGGACTCAGAGCCACCCCTATGTGCTCTTGGACAGTCTGAGGGAGGGGTGCGGGGGGTGGTCTCCATGCCCACCCTCACACTGGGGGGAATCTGGGGCTCTCAGAATCCCAGAATGCTCCCCTGCCAACCCAGAGCCCTCTCAGAGGGCGAGGCTGCATTTACAGCTCCCCAAGACCTTTTCCTGTCCCTCAGCAGAACCTGATTGCAATGTCCACGGCCTCCCGGAGAAGACCCCACATTCTGCTCCCCCTGCCCTGACCCGCGCCCGCTGAGAGAGACGGAGAGACGCACTGCTGGCAAGAAGAAGCCGGTGCTTTTTCACGGGATGCGATGACAGAGGAAATGAGAGGCAAAGCAGAACGTTGGAAGGGGTCGGAGGAGCTCGGCCGCAGTCCCTGGTGCGGTTCCCAGGGAGCCCCGAGCAGCTGGAGGGTGCAGCAGCACCAACCCACCCTCCCACCCCGCACTCCCTTGGGGTGGCTTCAGTTTATCTCCCCCGTGGCGTAAGCGTAGCCTTGAGCCAAGGCAGAGATGCAGCAAGCCAAGGCTGCGGCCCTGAAAGTGTCCCAGACGTCCCCCAAATCCCATCCCCAGGCTGGAGGCTGGCTGGAAGGAGCCGAAAGTGCCTGTTGGGATGTGGGAGATGTCCCAAAATGGGGACGGGCTGGGTGTCACCCGGGAGCAGGCTCGTCACGCCCGGGACTCGAGCGGCCGTAAGGTCAAGTAGATGGGTTTGTCTGGGATAAGAATGAGATCAAACTTGGTCCCAATTTCCACTGCTCTCATGGTTTCAATCTTGAAGTTCTCCAGGATCTGGAATGAAAGAGAACAGAGCAGATGGGTTGGATAGGGCTTGGAGCAACCTGGTCTAGCAGAAGGGGTCTCTGCCCATGGCAGGGAGTTGGAATGAGATTATCCTTAAGATTCCTACCAACCCAAACCATTCTGTGATTACACAGAAAACTCCGGAGGTAGCAACACCCACATACCACTTCCCTGATCCCTCCCAGTGACAAGTCCCCGGTGTCCCCAGCAGCAGGATGCTCACCTGCATGAGGAAGAGCTGCATCTCCAGTTCAGCGATCCGGCGCCCCAGGCACTGCCGTGGTCCAAACCCAAAACTCAGTCCCTGGAAGTGCTTGGGGCCAGCTACCAGCCAGCGCTGGGGCCTGAACTGCTCTGGCTTGGGAAAGACCTCAGGATCCCGGCCCATGGCGTAGAGACCGACCTGCACCAGCGTCTGTAGGGAGGGATCAGCCCCGTGGGTCTGGGCTCTCCATGTGGCTTTGCTGGGGTGCAGGGATGGCATCCAGCCCTCCAGCTGCTCCCCCCATGTCACCCAGGTCCCATAACCCCGTCAGGGTGAGGAGGGACCCGGTGGCCATGCTTACCTTGGGGGGGATGCAGTAGTCCTGGAGGATGACCTCTTGAGTAGTGTACCTCTGCAGGGTCACGGCCACAGGGTGCAGCCTGGGGAGACAAGTGCCAAACATCTCATCCTGGGGACAGCCTGGCCTACCCAGATTCCCCTTCGATTCATGACGGTTCAGGGAGGGAAGGGGCTGGGGGTGTTTTTCAGGGGGGCTCCTCCTCACCTGAGCGTCTCCTTGATGGCAGCTTTGAGCAGCCGGATGGTTTTCAGCATCTTCACCCTGTCCCCCGCCGCCTCACGCTTGGCAGCCAGCACCTCTGCCCGCAGCTGCTCCTGGACCCCCGGGGCCCGTGCCAGCTCGAACATGGCCCACTGCAGCGTCATGGAGGTCTGGAGCAGGGCAGGGGAGCAAGGCTCAGCACCAGCCAGGACCTGCACCCTGCCCAGCCACCCTGCCCGCTCCATACCGTGTCCACCCCGCCTGCCATCATCTCGGTGACACTGGCCCTGATGTCATCCAAGGGCAGCTTGTCCCGCATGATGAGGTTGCAGAGGATGCCCATGTACTCCTTGGTGCTCTTGCGTTGCAGCCGTAGGTCCCGGTAGACATTTTGGATGCATTTGTCCGCTGAGGAGACACGGAGGCATGGCATGGTCTTCCTCCCCCAGCGAATGGTGGAGGAGGAAGGGACCTCAGGACATTGCTGCCCCAGGGGGAGATAGCCTGCAGGAGGGTTATCCCAGGTGCCCAAAGATATCTGAGGCCACAAGCCCCTCTGGGAGAGCTGCTCCCCTCAACATGCTGCCCGTCATCTGCCCTTCATCACTCCTGGATGATTCCCCTCAGCTCCATCCCACAAGCTCCAGATGTGGAAACCCTACCTGGCCTTGGTGATTGGACCCAGGAGAACGTCTCCAGAGTGGTGACATGGGGCTGCACTATGGAGCCAAGCCTCAAAGGGACCTTGGATGACAAAGGGAGGTGCAGGCAGGAGGAACACTCACCCTGGGAGAAGATTGCATCCCAGGCCTGGACGTGGTCCCGCCACGTCTTGGTGTTGAGGTGGCGGAGGAGGGCGGGTGGCAGGTAGAGCATGGGTGATGTGGTGTGGAACATCAGGCTCACGGCATCGATGAAACGCTGCGCGTCGGGGTCCACGAAGTCCTGCAGCAGCCCCAGGCGCTCCCCGTACAGCACATGGCACACGGCTGCAAGGACAGCACCCGTGAGGGGGCCCATCCCCATCCCCTTCCACCATCCCACGGCCAGCTCCAGCCTTTCCAAGGCCTGGCTTGGCCTCCTGTTTGCTCAGGATCATGAGGGGTTGGTTTGAGTAGGGTTGGCCACCGGTTGATGACCAGTAAATGATAAAAGAGTGTTTTATCAAGTACTGAGTTGTTCTCTTGTCTAGAGAGAGGACATCCTGCCTGGAGAGAGGACACTACCCTACACCCTTCGGCCTTGGGAGAGACGCTGGTTGGCCCATCTCTGAGGATGAAGCTTGGGGAAAAGGGTGGGTTTTTTGTGGGGACACAGGCTTTGAGGCTCATGCCCCTGACACTCACACTCCAGAGCGAAGCGGAAGAGCTCGTGGGTGAAGTCAGCCGTCCAGTGCTCCCGGCCACTCTTCTCCACCTGGGCTCTCGCCCGCCGGATAAAATCCTCACCCACCTGGCTCAGCAGAGGCACAAACCCCTCCACCACCTGTGGCGACAGCACCTCCTTGTTCAGCATCAGGCGGTCCGAGCGCCAGGCCTCCCCCGTCCTGCGGGACACCAAAGTGGGGGTCAGAGGTGTCCCACTCACCCAGGGGATGCCACTCCCCAAAGCCCAGGACCAGCCAATGTCCCCATCACCCCCCTGATGCTCCAGCTTCTCCCCAGCCCTTGTGCCGGGGCAATGGCAATAGGACCTGGTAGCCCCCTTTTGAGGGCACCCCCCGGCCCCCCGACTCACTTGAGGAGCACACCATAGGGCTTGTTGCGGAAGTCACGATATGCCACCCAGGGGGGGACACTGAAGCGCTCTGGCAGTGTCCCCTCTGCCTGGAAGAGGGTGGCGGCGTCCCGGGGGCTGATGATGTTCACACTCTCATAGACACCCAGCTTCTCCCTGACGGGGTGAAGAGGGGGGTCAGCCCTGCACTCTGAACCTCAGCAACCCCAAATCAACCCCCCGCCCCCTTGCATGCTCTAAAATCCTGCTGGAAGGTCCCGTCCTGGGGAATGCAGGGGCTCAGCACCAAGATCAGGCCCTCAGGACTCAGGTGGGAATAGAGAGTGGTGCTGAAATCAAATCCCCAGCCCTTCCTTCTCAGATCCAGACCCTGTGGAGATCAGGGAGGGCAGAATCCTCTCCAGCTCCACCATTCCATCCTCTCGATATTCTGCATCCACAAGGCACTGCCGCCTGGTCCCTGCCTCCTCCTAGGGCACAGGGTCTGTCCCTTCCCACCCCAGGTTTCCGGTCCCCTCCCAAGGACCTGTCCCTTCCTGCCTCCCGTTCCCTGTGCCCTCCCATGGCACAGGGTATGTCCCCTCCTGACTCCCATTCCCTGTTCACCCCAGGGCACCAGTTCTGTCTCCTGCTACCCCCCTCTCGCCCATCACTGTGGCATCAAGCCTAGTCATCACATGGCAAGCCAGGCTCCTCCAGCAGCTCAGTCACATATTCCCCCCTCCCTCGCCCTGAGCAGAGCTGGGAATAGCAGCATCATCCCGGTCTGGAAAAGCCACAGGGGTTGGGGAGCAGGGTGAGAGAGACAAGGGGGGGCCAGATGCCACCTCACCTGTAAATGGGCCCGAACTGCTGGAACTTGCGAGCCATGATGTGGTGGACGTTGTTCAAGCCGCCCTCCTGCCAGAAGCGGTACAGGTTGAGCCAGCCGGCTCGCCACTCCCCCGGCAGCTGGTTGAAGGGCCGGGGAGTTGAGGGGGTGGAGGCGGCAGCCCCCCCAAGCCGGTGGCACCCCCCTGCTGGGACAGGGGGGCATCCCCGCAAGGCGCCGGGTTTGGGCGCAGCACGGGCGAGCATGGGAGCGGGCGGCAGAGAGGGAAGGGTGACCTGGAGCGGGCGGTGGAGAGGGGAGGGTGTCCTCGCTCTTATCCCCGCTCAAGGAGAGGTGCTCTCGCCCGCCTCCCGATGAGTCACGGCCCCCCTGGGGCCGGGGACAGACGGACACTGGGGCATGGGGCAGCGCCAAGGGGTTGGCAGAGCATCGTCCCCTCCCAGCCTTGCCATGGTAGGGTGTGACAGGTGACACGCTGACCTTGAGCGGCAAGGGGGGACCACGGGTGACACTGGCAAGTGGCCTGTGTCACCCCACTAAAGGCGGGTTCTGCTGCCAGCACTGACAATGAAAACTCGGCTGCCAAGGAGAGAAATGGTTTATCTGCCAAATAAATGACAAAAACGATCTAGGGGACAAAATAGTGGCAGTTAAACGTAATAAAGGTCACATCAGCCCAGCAGGGGACAGCCTTGGGGACCCCTAGCCAGGGTCACCCCAGGAGGGGACAGCCTTGTGGACTCCTGAACATTGCTGGGAGTGTCTCACCTCCACCCTCCCCAGGACAGGGAGTGCTGGGGGAGACACATCCCCACTTCCAAGGCTCCTTCCAGGAGGGAAAGGCTTTTTGGGGTGTCCTGAGCCACGGACAAAGGCTGCAGCACCCGAGGATGGTGGCAGAGTCCCTTGTCCCCAGGCACAGCAACAGCCACTGGCAATGGCGAGGTGGGGGAGATAATGGGATGGGCTCTACTGAGGGCTCCCCGAGATATCTCTTTGGGGTGTCCCCCGGGTCTCTGGAGTGTCCCTGGAAGGGACCGGGAGCGGGACAAGTGGCGGGATGTTCGGGGCCGGGGATGCTGAGCCGGGCTCAGTGG